GGCGGCGGGGTGCTCTCCCCCGGCTGGCGGCGGCGTGCGTTCCCCCTGCGTTCCCCGGTCTGGTGGCCTCGCCCTTGCGCTCCTAGAATGGAATTTTGACCTTTCATTTTTCCCACAAAGGGTTCCCACACACTGGTGGCACAGTGGTTAGCGAATTTGACTGCTAATCAACTCTCTGAACCTCGGATCCACCAGCTGCTCCCAGGGAGAAGGGTGAGGCAGTCCCCTATGATGTTCATGGCCTCAGAATCCTCCCAGGCAGTCTCTCAGGTCAGGATCCTTAGAGCCTCTTGATGGCAGTGGGTTGAGTTTGGTCTTAGAGCACCCTGCTTGTGTGGTAATAAAGACAACTGCTGACTAGAAGAACTGGTGGTTCAAACCCACTCCGCAGGCCCCTTGAAAGAAAGGCCTGGCTGCCAGCTCCTGACGGCCATGGAGACCCTGCGAGTATTGTTACAGCTCCTGGTCCTCTTGTTTGATATTTTTGGTTTGTTTGGTTTGGTTTTTTAAAAAAATTTTATTGGTTCACATACAAAAAATCAAGGACTGTAGTCTTCAATATGGATTGAATTTCAATATCAAGAGGACAAAGATTCTCACCATTGGGCAGCACCATGATAAATGGAGAAGAGATTGAGGTTGTTAACAGTTATAGCTTGCTTGGCTCCACAGTCAACACACTTGGCACCAATAATCAGGAAATCTTTGAAAATCTTTGGTAATTTTTTATGTTGAGCCTCAGTCCGTATTGAAGACCTTTGATATTCTGCAGCAAATTCCTCAGTTCCTCCTTAGTTTCAGCAAGCAGGGTTGTATCATCTGCATAACACAGGTTGTTGATGAGTCTTCCTCCAATCCTGATGCCATATTCCTCCTCATAAAACCCAGCCTCCCAGATGATCTGTTCTGCATATAGATTGAAATGGTAGTCAAATGCTTTTGCATAGTCAATGAAACACAGATAGACATTCCTCTGGTATACTCTGCTTTTAGCCAAGATCCATCTGATATTGACGATGATATGCCTGGTGCCCCAGCCTCTTCTAAACCCAGCTTGTATTTCTGGTAGTTCTCTGTGAATATACGGTTCCAGTCATTTTTGGATGTTCTTCAGCAGGATTGTGCTTGTGTGTGATATTAATGACATTGTTCAGTAATTTCTACACTCTGTCAGATCACACAGAGATTATGCCTTAGAAACCCTACATGACAGTCTGTACTATCTTCTGAGTTTGAGATGACTTGATGGCCATGGGTTTGGGATTTTGGTTGGTTGGTTGATTTTTACCTGGATCCTAGATGCCAGTTATTCTCTGCAAACATGAAGATACGACTGGGGCCTTGGTGCAGGGGATCCAAGTGTTCTGCAGTGATCCTCCCCTGTGGAGCTGGGGTGACCATAGTTCAGTCACAGCTCTCAGAGAAGGAGAAGGGGTATCTGTGAAGCATTTCTTGCTGCCCAGCCTTCCCCTGCTCCCAACCCCTCTCCTGGGAGTTGGCTCTGGGACACTGAGGCTCCACTTCAGCCCTTATTTCTGCTGTTGATAGCTGCTCTTCTGTGGAAAAGCACCTCTCCTCAGTACCTGGAAGCTGCAAGGCGGGAAAGGACAGTGTGGTATGCAGCCCTTCTCTCCTCCTCTGTTTGTTGTTGTTGAATATACTCACAGTACAATAGCAATTTTTTTCTTTTTTTTTTTTTTTTGTGTGTGTGTGTACCGTCAAATAGGATCTGACTGGTACTGGAGGAGATTGTCCCTCCTTCCCTGGCAGAGCATCTGGTGGATTTGAACCATGAGCCTCTGGGATTGCAATGCAACTTCTTGCCACTAGGCCACCAGAGCTCCCCTACAATAGCACTTTTATCGTTCTGCAGCCTCGTGTGTGTAACCTCTCTACTTCCTTTTCTGAATTGCTCCTTCCCTGTCCCCCAAGATTCATTCCTAATCAGTGCTTTTCCTTTTAATGGCCAGTTTTAAACATGAAGGAAAGGTTTGTTTGTTCTTTGTCTGTGTTGCCATAGTACCATAGTAAGGAATTGTGCAGCTGACCCCAAATGTCCCTGGGATTCAAATCTACCAGCAGTGGCAGAGGGATGGTGGTTCCCTCCTCTTCCTTCCTTGTCTGTCTTTCTGTCCCTTCTCTCCTCCTTGACTTCCCCCTTGCATTTCTTCTTCCCTCTCTTTCTTTCTCTTCTTCTATCATTTAATAACAAGCGTGCCTGTTCCATCAGTACCTCTTGGTGCCTAAGACACAAATTCTGATGTGAAAGTGTCTTCAGTAACTTAGAGCCTTGGTCCATCTTGTGTCTCTGGACATGCTCCGTCAGTCCTGTGTCTGCTGCATCTGCTATTCTGGGGCTGAGGATGTGTCTGAGCTCACGTGACGATCCAGAACTGCCCCCCGGACATGACTGTGACATTGTGCTTCATGGTCACCCCTGTGCTTCCAGGAGAAAGGGGCTGTCAGACCAGGAGGTCAGCTCTGCTGGAGGGAGGAGAGCGAGATAGCCCAAAGGTGAGGTTTGACTTAGGGTGGGGAGGTATGGTCTCTGCCTAGGGCTTAAATTCTCCATCTTCAGAGTGAGGTCACCTCTGACCCCTGGTGATGACATCTGTGAGTGACAAACTGGGGCAACCATGACCCCTGGAGGTGATATGACTGTGAAGGACAGTCTGGGTGCACCCCTGACCCCTGGAGGTGGGATGACTATGAGGGCCAGGCACTGTGCTATGTCCATGGCTAGTGTCTGGCTCCCCAGCCTGGCTGTCCTGACACTGTCCTCTCTCCATAGGTGTGAATGACAGAGGTGGTACCGTCCAGTGCCCTTGGTGAGGTCAGCCTGCGCCTCCTGGGCCATGATGACATAGACACCGTCAAGCATCTCTGTGGCGACTGGTTCCCCATCGAGTAAGTGTGGGGTGGCCTTGGTCCCCACTGGAGTGGGTGGGGAGGAGAGGTCTAGGGTTCACAGGCAGATCACAGGGGTGACAGCAGAAGGGACTGTGGTCCCAGGTCAAGGTGAACCCATCCCTTCCCTGCTCTTTACCAGCCTCGCACTTCACAGATACTGCATATTGAGTTTTAGAAATGAGGGTTCATGGCAACCCTGCATCAACAAGACTGTTGGTGCTGTTTTTCCATCAACATATGTGATCACTGCACCTCTCAGGTTCCCTTAAATACACAGTATTTAAGCTGTTTCCCAATGTTTTTGCACACTTGGTCGACCTTCCATCAGGTATCGGAGGCTGTGAATGTTGACAAGAGGGGACTGCCTGCCTATCTTTGTCCCTGAGCCCTTGAGAGGCTGGTAATCAGAGCCCCCAGCTTTAGTAGCAATGCATTTAACACCCCCACCCTTTGCTAGATGCAGCAGGAAGCATACATTGTTGGTAAACCAAGAACTGGTGTGACATGCTATATTGTGAAATTGTCTTTTTGGGGGGGTGTCTGGAGTTGAACCCACAGACCTCGAGGCCTACCTGCATCTTTAGAGGAAGGCTTCAGACTAAGGATCTAAGGGTGAGGGCAGTTTATGAAACCTGGATGGCGAAATGACTGGAAGAACAGTCATTATTGACAAGCATTTTAACCTGGTATTCAATTTTGTAAAGCACACTGTGAAGTAGTATATGCTGTGGTATCTCTGGCCCTTGACTCTGTAGTGTAGGAGGCTGTAAGCCTTGGAACAAAATGTTTTCATAAGATTGGGTGAGCTGCTGTTATTGAGCTATTCTTAGATGCTGTGGAGTTGGCTTCCCCTCATCACAGCCCCGTGTGTAAGACCATAACCCATCTTTGTGGTCTGCTGTGTTTACACTCATTGGTGCAGTTCTTTGACAGTCCACCACTCTGTTGAGAGGGTCTTCTGCTCTTTCACTGACCCTCTATTTTTATCAGGTTTGGTGACCTTCTCCAGAGTCTAGCGCTTCATTCAGCATGCCCAGATTATGTGAAGTGAAGTCTCGCCACCCTCACTTCTAAGGAGCACTCTGGCTACACGTCTTACAAGCAAGCTTGCTTTGTTTCTTTGGCAGTCTGTTGGTTATTAAATACACTTCACCAGCCCTGCAATGTAAAAGCATCAGTTCTATTTCAGTCTTCCTTATTCATTATCCAACTTTATTGATGTCTAATTTTTTTTCCGCCTTTCTGTAACCACATACTTTCCTGACGTACACATATACAGCTTTGGCAATCGGAAAAAATATATGCAAACTTTAAAACATTAACAAGCAAGATGCTACCAATTTATGAGTCAGTCTGAGATGGCCATTTACACCACTTTGAGTAAGAACATAAGGAGCTCTGGTGAGCCTTTTCCCCAGGTGGGTTCTGGAGGAAGGTCCTCATTTCCCTCAGCAGCTGTTGTCCTGCATTCCTTGGCAATCTTTCCTATGTCAAGAAGCTTCCCAGTGTGGGGAGCTGGGTCCAGAGTTGTGCTCTACTTCTGGTCTCTTATCTCCTACTCGCTTCTCTCTCCTTCCACTGAGAGACAAAAAGTGATGCAGGCACACTCACCCCTGATCCCTTTACTGATTGGCTGGTCACATCTCAGATCACAGGGAATGATAACATGATTACTAACCAGCCTCAGGTGGCCTTGGTGTCAGGCGGCTGCCACTGAGTGTGTCTTTACTTCGCAGGTACCCAGACTCATGGTATCGTGACATCACGTCCAACAAGAAGTTCTTCTCCCTCGCTGCCACATACAGAGGTGCCATCGTGGGAATGATAGTAGCTGAGATCAAAAGTAGGACCAAGATACATAAAGAGGTAAGTCTGTCCTGGAATCGTGATTCAGGGAACCCCTGATCTCTTCACTGTTTTTATAGGTGTTTATTATGTAAAATACAGATTCATACCTGTTATAAGAAATAATATTCCAAATAAATAGGAAATTAACTTTCTTCTTTTACTTTTTATTGTGCTTCGAGTGAAATTTTACAGAACAAATTGGTTTTCTATTCAGTCTCTCCTAGAAATTTTGTTGTGTGGCTTTAATTACAGTCCCCACGTTGTAACAGCATTCTTGCATTTCCTCCCTGTGGTTCCCCTTTCCCTTCATCCTTCTCTCCTACTCTTCTACCCTCTGAGCTCTCTACCTCAGCAAATACTGTCCTTTTGATCTCCTGTGATTGAGTGTTTTAAGGATTCATTACCTCCCTAATGTTACTATTCACCTTATAAACCTGTCAAGTGTTTGGATGAAAATTGGGTCACAAAAGGGAGTTCAGTTTAGTGCTCAAATGGTAAACTAATGGTCTCACCAGTCTCTGTTGGACCAGCCAGCCCGATTTCTTTTATGATTTTGGATTTTATCCCACCTGCTCCTCTGGCATTATCATTAACTTTTGAACCAAAATAATCCATGGAGAAGTTATCTGGAGAGAAGGAATAGCTGAGCTAGCTGGTGAGCGTTCAGTTTGGGCAGTGCTGAGCAACGTGAGGTTTATCCAGGTGAGGGTAGGCTGGCAGCATTGAGCACTGTGCACCCGTGAGGTTTATCCAGGTGAAGGCAGGCTGGCAGCAGTGAGCGCCACTCACCCGTGAGGGTTATCCAGGTGAGGGCAGGCTGGCAGCAGTGAGTCCTCTGAGGAGGTATTCGGGGCACAGAGCGTCTGAGTCATCACGGAAGTACCAGCCAGAATGAGTGGAGATGGTGAAGATGTGAGACCACACGGAGATAGGACCACTGTCACTCAACTGAATGTAGGGAACATGGTGAGTTGGGAGTGTGCCCTAGAATGTGTATTTTCACATACAAATAAAAAGGTAAGTCTGTGTGGTGATATATCGAAGGTGATGTTCACAAGACAGCCAGGGGAACCTAGTGACAGAATTATACCCCCTGCTCCTTAGAACATGGCTTGGAAACTTCCATAATCCAAGCTCGAGCGAGAGACCTGATCCCTGCAGTTTCTTTTCAGAGAAATTGTTCAGCTCAGTTTCCTCCTGAGTTGCTTTTACCATTTTATTCAATGCCGAGATATAACCTACCAACAAAACAGAAAGGACATGATAGAGGTTTCCAGAAGTCTCTGGGAAAGTTTTTGTTTTGTTTTTTAACTTTATATTGTGATTTGGGTGAAAGGTTTGCAGAGGAAATTGTTTTTCCACTCAACAATTCATATACATAATTTTTCCTATTAACAACAGCCTGAACAGGTAACAGCACTCTTTCTAGTTCCTCCTTGTGTTTCCCATTTCTGTTTGTCCCTCCTCCCTTCCTGCCTTCTGAGAGCTGACTATGTGAATTCTTGTGATTGATTGTTCTAAGGAGTGTGGGCCTCCCTGGTCGTGGTGGTCACTTTACAGACATGTCTGCTATTTGGCTGAATAATAAGTGATGAGTGAGTGCATTTCCTGGCTCCAAGGATGACTATGGGTTGTAGTGTAGGGAATCCCATTAGTTCCTGTCAGACCAGTGATCCTGGTGATATGTCTGTCTGTCTTGCTTGGCCCATAGCTCCCACTTATGGAGCACCCACTTCACTTTGGTCTTTTTCTTTGTACGTCTGTGCTTTTTCTGCTCCTGTTTGCAGTGTGGCAGCTAAGCTGCCAGAAGACACTCATTTCCATGGGGTGAGGGCTCTCCACTGTCGACTTGGTTACATAGCACCTTCCCTCCCCTTCCCCGGTCCTGCAGACACTGGCAGGGAAGTCAGGTCCTCCTGTGTCCTGTTCCCTACAAGGTCACTAACCCAACGTCATCCTTCAACTATTTCTCTAGGATGGAGATATTCTAGCCTCCAGCTTTTCTGTGGACACCCAGGTTGCATACATCCTGAGTCTGGGAGTAGTGAAGGAGTTCCGGAAGCACGGCATAGGTAAGGGGCAGGGGGCCCAGGTCAGGGTGTCCGACCACCTTATCAAGCAGCAGCCACTGGTCCCAGTGAATACGCAGCTCTCTGGCCTGTTCTTTCAGCTTTGTCCTGCCACCTTGGCTCAGAGCTTTGCCACCTCACCTCCCCAGCTAATCTCTATATCCCTGTGGTCCTGCAGCCGCCTTCTTTCCAGTTCCCATGTCTAATGTGACAGCCCTGCTTTTACCACTTCTACCTACCGCCAGGTACAGGCTCATGTCATCTCACGAGGAGTTCTTGACTAAGAGTCAAGATCACCCTTCAGAAAGTGCTGACAACTGCCCCTACCCAGTGCGCAACAAGTGCCCAGAGCCCTGTCGCAGACTTGTCCTAAATCCCGACCCCAGGGGGTCATGTGGTCAGGAAACGGGGTGTCCAAACATCACCCCTGCCTGGCCAGTCTGTGTTGACTGGACCAAGCATCACCCTTCTTAATTGTCTGAATGGCCAGTGAAGATTCCACAGTAAGTTGAGCCTACAGAGGAGACTGAAGAAGTTTGGCTTTGGCTGTGTCAGACCAAGAGCTCTCTGCAGGAGCACTTCCTCCACGCTGTGTGTCCGTGTGTCCCCGTTCCCCCCCCCCCCCCTTTCTAACTACCCTGCTGGGTATCACCTTCACCTTCATCTCTTCTTTCCCAGGCTCCCTTTTACTTGAAAGTTTGAAGGATCATATATCGACCACCGCCCAGGACCACTGTAAAGCCATCTACCTACACGTCCTCACCACCAACAACACAGCAATAAACTTCTATGAGAACAGAGACTTTAAGCAGCACCACTATCTGCCCTACTACTACTCCATCCGGGGGGTCCTCAAAGATGGCTTCACCTACGTCCTCTACATCAATGGTGGCCACCCTCCATGGACGATCTTATATCCTTTACCCTGCAGTAGTGGGATGGGGGCTAATCTCCATCAGATGACTTTCAGGAGGCCACATTTTCCCCAAAGCAAGCCACATTTTTAATACCAACATAACCCATCAAGTCTACTGCCGTTGCTTCCTGTAGGATGGAGTAGAAGCTTCCTATCTGGTCTCCAAGGCTGTAATCTTTATGCAACACTTGGCTGCTAACTGAAAGGTCTGTGGTTTGAACCCGCTAAGTGCTCCAGGACAGGAAAGGAGACAGTCTGTTCCCTAAAGTTGGCAGCCTCAGAAGCCTGTGGGGCATGTCCACTCTTACATGCTTACACTGAGTTGGACTCAATGTCAATGGGCTGGATTAGGTTTGGAGGTAGTGATTGTAATAGCAGTCCTGGTGGCAGAGTGGTTAAAGCACTCAATTTCCAAGGTCAGTAGCTGCACAGGAGAATGATGAAGCCGTCTATTTCTGTAAAGAGGCCCAGCCTTGAAAACCCTCTGGGGCAGTTCTGCACTGCTTGGTAGGATCACTGGGGGTCAGAATCTGCAGAAGGCAGTGAGTCTAGTCTCCATGGAAGATGACAGCTATATCTTTCTTCCAGAGTGGCAGGTGTTCCCACTGCCAACTCTGGGTTGGACCTGAGAGCTGTAGCCATTCCACCACGGACATGCTTCACTTGTTGGAAGAGCAAGCTCTCTGACCCTCAGCACCCCAGACTTCAGTTGCATATGAGAGATGGATATTTCAGCCCTGTTGACCTGAGATCCGTCCATCCAGGCATCTGTCAGTCCATGCACTCAGCGAGTGTTTCTTGAGAGCTAACCACTTGTTCTACATGCCGGGATAGCCCGTTAACTGTGGCAGAGCTCCCGGCACATGAGTGTATCTGTGAGTGGACAGACACATGGGCTGTAAAAGCCCTCCTATGTTTTCACAGATTTAAGTTGAAACAGTGGTCTTTTCCCTGTGGGATTGCATGATCCAGAGGTGTGGCCCTTGTCTGGTGTCCCCTGTGGAGCACTCTGGGCCTTGACAGATGGGCTGTAGGTCACGAGGTGAGCCGTTTTTTCTTTTTTGAAAGTTGTGAAAAATACAACCCAGCACAACATGGCAGTTGAGCATGTTTCTGGTGTGCATCCCAGTTAGGGGCTGTGAGGAGTCACCCAGCTAGATGGCAGTGGAGAGTGCAAGAGAATTGGTGTGTACATGTACACGTGTGTGCACAGTGTGTTTGCTCAAACGAATGAATCCAGGCTCACTTGAGTGTCCCAGGGTCCCTTGGGCCTCCAACTTCCTGTGTGGGACAGTCCCTCGGAGTGTTCTGATCCTTCAACACTACAGACCCTGCTCTTGTCATAGGAATGAGGACCCTCCATCTGTCCTGCTGTCCCAAGGTTTGAGATCATGGGGTGGAACTAGGGACACAGGCCCCTTGCCCCAGCACCTACTGTGAGTTGGGCTCAGTCAGGGGGTTCAGGTGACCTCACTGCCTTTTGCCAGAGCAGACGCCACCCATCATCCTTTAGCATGCAAGACTTGGCCTTGTGGGAGCCCCTTGTGCCACCAGCCCTGTGCTGACCCAGGGGTCATCACACCCCTCCACAGGACCACGTGACAGTGGGCCAGCGTCTTCCTTAACGACCCCTCACGGACTACATCCAGCACCTGGGCTCCACTCTCGCCAGCCTGAGCCCCTGCGCCATCCCCCAACGGCTCTACCGCCAGGCCCACAGCCTGCTCTGCAGCTTCCTTCCCTGGTCCAGCCTCTCAGCCAAGGGCAGCATCGAGTACAGCCGGACCATGTGAGGCTGCCCCCTGTCGGTCTGGCCCCTGAAGATTCCTGGGAAGGAGCCCATCGGCCTGCCCCTGCTGCAGGCCTGGTGCTACGTGGGCTCGGGAGCAGCATCAGGCACTACCAGAGTGTAGCCTCCAACAGGTACGCTGGAGAAGTGGAAGGGAGAGACTGGGTGGGAACCAAACTGCCTGCCACCAAGTCCATCCTGATGTCACCGCAGAGCTATGCATCATGGGCTTCTCTCACTCTCATGCATACTTTGAACAATTGCAAAGCAATTTATTTTCCCTTCAACCATTCATGCAGATTTTTTTTTTGTGAGAAAAATTTATATTTACAATTAGCCCACTGGACTCAGTTTAGATGATCCTAATTTTGTTGGCAACATCCAAAGCATCATATTAGGAGCAAGTCAAACATAGGCCTTCTTCTCTCCATCAGGCCTAATCAAAATGTTGACCTTAGCCACATCAATGTCATAGAGCTTCGCTTGTTTAATTTGGTGCTTGTTGGCCTTGACATCCACAATGAACACAAGTGTGTTGTTATCTTCTATCTTCTTCATAGCCAACTCAGTGGTCAGGGGAAATTTGATGATGCCGTAGTGGTCAAGCTTGTTTCTCCTGGGGGCGCTCTTCCGGGGTATTTGGGCTGCCTTCAGAGTCTCAGCGTCTTAGGCCGCCAGAAGGTGGGTGACGTGCGGATCTTCTTTTTTTTTTGGCTGTGGACGCCCTTCAGGACTGCCTTCTTGGCCTTTAATGCCTTTGCTTTTTGGCTTCAGTTTTGGGAGGGGCAGGGGCTTCCTTCTTAGCTTTCGGCGCCATCTTCGTAGAAAAAAGTCATGCAGATTTTTGTTTCATGGCTTCATTTACAGTCCCCACATTGTGACAAATACCACTATCATTCAAACATACATACCAGCAACTAGAGCCAAAGAGGAGGAATAGAAGTTTTCTGCCAAATAGAAGTTTTCTGCCAACTTTGCAGTCAAGGTTCGATTAAGCATGCGATCAAGATAATAATGGCTGACTGGATTGCAAAAGTTGGGAACAGGGAAGAAAGATCAATCGTTGGAAAACATAAACTAAGAAACTTAAACGCAGGCTATACACATGGATTTCACCTGATGGTATACACAGGAATCATATTGATTACATCTATGGAAAGAATCGCTGGAGATGCTCAATATCGCTGTAAAAACAGGGCCATGTGCTGATTGTGAAACAGACCACCACCTAGTTCAGGCTGAAGCTAAGGAAAATTTCATCAAATCCACAGAAACCAAAATTTTACTTTGAGTCTATCCCACCTGAATTTCAAAACCATCTTAGGAACAGGTTTGAGGACTTGAGCAAAGACCATATGAGTTGTGAGAGGTTATCAAGAACATCATCCAAGAAGAATGGGTCAGTACAAAGACAGAGGAGAAAGAAAAGACCAAGATGGATATCAGAAAGGACTCTGAATATGAATATTACACTAGAACACCCAAGGAGCCAAAGCAAAGGGCAGAAATTAAGGAGCTGAACAGAAAACTTCAAAGGACAGCACACGAAGACAAAGTAAAGTATTATAATGAAATGTGCAAAGAGCTGGAGTCTGAAAATTAGAAGGGCTGAACTCAACATTTCTTAAGCTGAAGCAACTAAAGAACGAATTCACGCCTCAAGTTGCGATACTTAAGGGTGCTTTGGACAGAATATTAAATGATCCAGAAAGCATTAAAGAAGATTGAAAGAGGATACAGATTCATTGTACCAAAAGGAATTAGCAGACACAGAAGAATTTCATGAAACAGTATATGAACAAGAGCTTGTGGTGATGAAGTTCACGCTGCTCTGAATTGGCAAAAAAAAAAACGCCCCTGGAATTGACAGTGTACCAGTTGACATATTTTTTTTAATTAATTTAGTTTGTTTATTTTTCATTTCCATGAACATCTACAGAGATTTTGGAATTCCATTCATTCATTGTTGCACTCTTCTCCCCGCACAAACCCCCCCCCCCGTTTGCTCCTCTCCTTGAAAAGCAAAAGAAAAACTCCCTCATTGGTACATAATCCCCCCGCACCTCCCCAAACCCCACCCCTACCCCCAAATATAATCCACTCTGCAACCCTCATTGCGTACTCCTATGATAAAAATAATGCCCTAAAATATAATACTTTTAGACTGTTCTCTCCCCCATAGACTTCAATGCCGTAAACATATTTCATCCAGTTTTTCTGTCTTACCCCCACCCAGATGCCAGCCTCATTCTACAACAGTGGCACCATATAGCATTTGTCCCTTTGTGACTGAGATACCTCACTCAGCATAATGTCCTCCAGGGTCACCCATTTTGAATAATATTGCATGAGTTCCTTGTTTTTCAATGCAGCATAGTATTCCATTGTGCGAATATACCACAGCTTCTCTACCTATCCGTTTGTTGATGGATTCTGCCCTGGATGTGCTCACCAAGTTGTGCCAAGAAATATGGAGGACAACTACCTGGCCAACTGACTGGAAGAGATCTGTATTCCCATTTCAAAGAAAGGTGGCCCGACAGAGTGTGGAAATTATTGAATAGTATCATTCATATCACATGCAAGCAAGATTCTGCTGAAAATTATCCAAAATGACTAGAATAGCACATCAGCAGAGAACTATTAGAAGTACAGGCTGGGTTTAAAAAAGGCCATGGTGCTAAAGATATTATAGCTAATGGTAGATGGATCTTGGCTCAAAGCAAAGAGCAACAAAGGAATGTCTCTTTCATTGACAGTGCAAAGGCATCTGACTGTATGGGTCACAACAATCTATGGCTAACCTTGAGACAAATGGGAATGACTCCCATAACACTTAATCATGCTTATGCAAAACATGTACTTGGACCAGGAGGCAGTCATCCGAACAGAGCAAGGAAACACTGCATGGTTCAAAATTGAGAAGGGTATACTGCAGGCATGTGTCCTGTCTCCATTTCTTTCCATTCTGTATGCAGACAGATAATCTGGAAGGCTGGGCGCTATGAGGAGAAATGTGGCATCAGGATTGGAAGAAGACTCATCAACAATCTGTGTTACACAAATGACATGTTTCTGCTTGCTGAAACTGAAGACTTCTGAAGTGCTTGCTGTAGAAGGTCAAGGACTGCCTCCTTAAATATGGATTGAAGCTCAAGAAAACAAAGCTCTTCACCACTGGGCCCATTGGCAGCATTATGATGGATGGTGAAGATTGAGATGGTTAACAGCTTTAGTTTGCTTGACTCCACAATCTACACTACCAGCAGCCAGGAAATTAAAAGACTAATTGCATTGGGAAAGTCTGCTATCAGAGACCTCTCCAGAGTACTAAAGAGTGGTGATGTCAGTGTGGAGACTAAGGTGCATCTGATTCAGGCCATAGCCTTTGCAATTGCTTGCTATGTGTCAGAAAGCTGGACAATGACTAGGGATAATAGAAGGAGAATTGATGCCTTTGAGCTATGGTGCTGGAGAAGTGTTTTGAATACGAACATGGACTGCTAGGAGAATAAACATGCTTGTCCTAGAGAGGGTAAAACCAGGCTGATCCTTGGAGGCAAGGATTCTGAGGCTTCATCTGACATACTTTGGACATGTTCCAAGGACTGATCAGACCTTGAAGAGGGACATCAGCTTGGGAGGGTGGAGGGAAGGACAGCTCAACAAAGGAAGATCTTTGATGAGATGGATTGATCAGTAACTGGGATAATGGGGGTATGTGTGTCAGAGATGATAGATTGGCACAGGATAGAGCAGGGTATAGGGCTGTTGTTGGTCACTGTGAGTCACAAGCTACTCAGTGGCACATAACAGCAGCAGCAACATTGTGACAGCTCACGTCCTCCCTGTGGTTCTCATTTCCCTTCATCCTTCCTGCCTTTTGAGCTTTCCTGAGCAGAACTGCACTCTGATCTTATATGTTTGGTTAATGTAAGGAGTTAGTGGCTCTCTGGTGTGATTTGTTCACATTAGAGTTGAACCATGGGGCTGAATTAAGTTCCAGCTCACGGGTGCTCCGTCAGGCTCTCAGGGGCTAACTTTTCACAAGCTGATCACCAGACCTTTCTTCCATGACACTTCTGATGGAGCTCTAGCTCTCTTCTCAGTTAGAGGAAGAGTGTTTGCACCACCAAGTCAGACAGTGGAGTCGAGGAATGGCAGGCATAACCCAAGGGCCCAGGTGGTGCCTGTTGCAGTGGTGAGGCCAGAGCCAGGTCCTGGCCTGCTCCAGAAACGTCCTGAACGAGGTCAGATGGCAGAGCATCCTAGAGACCTGCCCAGGTCATATTGAACCCTTTCAAAACCAAAATTATTTTCTGCTTTGTATTATTACTAAAATGTGATTTTGGTAATGGAAGGCATTTTGAATAAAATGGAGGGGGAAATGTTAGCAGTATACAAACTTTTATACAATTAATGAGGTGCATGTGTCACAGTAGAGGAACTGTGGAGGTACAATCCATGGGGCTGCACTGTTAACCCAAAGGTAGCGTCTCTTTGAGCGTTTGGATTCACCAGAGGCTTCGTAGGAGAAGGATGGGCAGCATCCTCCTATGCAGCTAGCTGACAGCCCCTGGAAGCTCTCTGGCGAATCAGCTGAGCCAGTTCTGACTGCTGGCAATGTGTTGGCGATTTTCAGTTGTGTTCTGATGGTGCTCTGATGTGGGTCTGTGGACTGAGGTCCCCAGCACCTCCACCCTCACCTTCAGGTTCCTGCAGTTACTTGAGTCTACAAGTAGAGGGCACCACATGAAGGCATTCCCCATTAAGGCCCAGGTGGAAAAGGTAGGTGAGCACTGTGTTCCATCAGTCACAGGCAGGTTAAATATCAGCTCCATGCCAAAGACAGCTGACATTTCTGCTGAGACACAGCTCTGTCCTGGTCCTGAGAGTAACGTGCCTCAGATGATGGAGCCTCCTGGGACTGATGTACAAAGTGGTTGGCAAAGTATCATTTCAAAATGACAGAAATGCACGCTTCCCCTGGAAGATTTCTGGAGA